CAAGCAGAGAAAGTCAATTATCATATGGTTTCACTTATTTGTGGAACATAAGGAATAGCATGGAGGACACTAGAAGGAAGGGAAAAATGAGGGGGCGGAATTGGAAGGAGAGATGAACCATGAGAGACTATGGACTCCGAGAAACAGAGTTTTAGAGGGGAGGGTGGAGGGGGGATTGGTTAGCCCGGTGATGGGTATTAAGAAAGGCACGTACTGCATGGAGCACTGGGTGTTATACGAAAACAATGGATCGTGGATCACCACATCAAAAACTAATGATGTATTGTATGGTGACTAACATAACAGAATAAAATTTAAAAATAAAAAAAAATCCTAAACTTTGTTTAGAGAAAAAAAAAATGTTCCTCACCTTGAGAAAGGTGAAGTTCTTCTTAAACAAAACATAAAAACAATAAAAAAAAGTGAAATATTTGACAGAACCAAAATTTAAAACTTCTATTCATGAAACATACCATAAGCAAAATTAAAATACACATGACAGGATGGAAGAAAATATCTGTGACATACGTAACAGACAACAGGTCACTACTCAAAATATATAATAAATTCATATGAATCCATCAGAAAAAGAAAACACAATAAGAAAATGAGGAAAGAATATGAACGGGTAACTTCAGAGAAGAGAGAAAAATACAAATAACCAATAAACATAAGGGGTGCAAGCTCCCTCATTATCAAGGAAATATAAATCATATCAATTAGTTTGAAAAACAATCCTTAAAAATAGGTAGTATCAAGGGACGCCTGGGTGGCTCAGTCGTTAAGCATCTGCCTTCGGCTCAGGTCATGATCCCAGGGTCCTGGGATCAAGCCCCGCATCAGGCTCCCTGCTCGGCGGGAAGCCTGCTTCTCCCTCTACCAGTCCCCCTGCTTGTGTTCCCTCTCTCGCTATGTCTCTCTCTGCCAAATAAATAAATAAAATCTTTTTTAAAAAAAATAGGTAGTATCAAATATTATTATAACTGCTATAAAATGGATACAGCTTGGCTAGCAATAGGGCAGGATTTGTCAAAATTCAAAATGCTATTCCATTCTTAATTATCTGCCTAATCAAATACCAGCACATGTGTGCCCCAAGAGGCACGTAAAAGACCCTCCCCTCCACCTGCAAGTAAAGCCAGCCCAGACCACCTCTGTTTGCCATGAAAGGGAAGAACTGGGAACAAACCTGGGCCCATCGAGTGTGGCCGAGTTAAATACACAACGCTGCACCCAAACCAGATGCTCAAAACATATTGTTACCGCCTGAAAAATGTGTATTGTCATTTTGGGTGGTTGGCTAAGAGAGAACAATTCAAAAAAGTTATCTGATTTCCATATTTAACTGCTATTCTAACCTAAACCAACTTACGGAAGAACCATATTGCCAGAGAGCAGCGGTGCATTACACATAAGTTTCTACACAGCATCCTTTGGATGCATGTCCATCAATAACTCATGATCACCCAGTGATTTTGACAAATATTTTTAGATGCCATGATCCTACAATTAATCTGGTATCTTCTTTGACAAAAGTATTCAGGAAAACCAACTTCTAAAAAATTGTACTTATCGCTGACAGTTACTCTCGCCACCAAAAATAAATTTATAATAAGGCTCCAATTTATAATCTTGGTTCAGCCAACATGGAAAAAAATAATTCAATTATTGACTACCAGCTACCCCTGAGTTTAAAAAACAGAACCAAAATTTTAAAAAACCACGGAGTGATAAAGTCAACAGCTGGTGGTTCTCACGCGGGTTTACCCTGACACACAGTATCACCCTGGGGTCTGCTGGTTTGCTGGTATCCTGGCAGATTCTCTACCTGTTTCCATTACTGTATTTATCACACTTTTCCCCTCTCATCTGATAACAGAAAATGCCAGAAAGGCACAAGAATATTTTACCTCCAGGCATTCCGATCAGCAATACTTACCTTAACAATTAATCTGAGTGTATACCAAGTTTTTGCTGTAACGTCAACATGTCCTAAAGCATATATGATCCATCCAGCTGCAACACAAAAAGATTATCCTAACTTGGTATATTTTTAAAATTGAAATTACAGAATCACATAGCTCAGTCGGGGTTCTCAGGCAGCATTTGTATGTAGTAAAGTAAGCCTTAATAAAGATCTGCATTAAAGAATAGTAATAATAAAAAAAATAAAGATCTGCATTTCCAGATCTACCACTGACTTAAAACAAAACATCCTTCATTCAGGCATGCATTCCACAAGCATGTATTGGGATCCTACTCTGAGTCATATATGTGAGCTCACAGGAGAACCAGTGACATAAACTTACAAACCAACCACAGTATAATGTGTTAACTTCTACGGTTCAGGCATAGATTTATACTCGATCAGACTGGATATAAAGAATAAGGAGTAGTGGTCAAAGGTCACCATAAGATTTCTAGCTGGTGTAACTGGTTACATGGGAATAGCATGAACTGAGAATTAGAGAAAACAGTGAGTTAATTTGGGGATAGATTATATTTGAATGCCTGAAAGAAACCAGAATAAGATGTTGAGTGGGCAGTTTAAAACACAAGAACAGTGCGGACTAAAGACCTGGATGTAAATTGCTGGTTCCAGTTCTGCTGCTAACTCATTTTGAGACTTTGGGCAAATCAATTAACCTCTCAATTAACCTCTCCTTTGGGAAAATCAATTGGACTGGACAATTACTGAGGAACATTCTAGATGGGCCATGCTATGATTTTGCAATCTTACTCTGGTATCCTTATAACCCACTCTTTCTTTATCACTTGTGGAGCCCTTTCCACCTTAGGAAGAGGCAAAGAGTAGCAAACTATAGGAGAGAAGATTTTTTACAAACGCAGGGGGAAGTCAAGAGACGAGGAATCAGGAAGACGCAGCACCAATATGGTCTGTTTCAACAGAGCAGGGTGTACTAACACCAAAGTGAATTAGAATTCTACCAGACATATTCTAAGCACCTATCCTGGATAAAATACTATTCTACATAAGACAAGAGCTGTTTAAGATGAATGGAAAAAAGTCAAGCTGCTTTCAAGTTATTAACTAAATTGGGAAACAGGATATTTCCATTTAAAGCAGACCAATCCTTCTCCTTGTACTTCCATAAGCACACTAGCACACTCTTGTAGTCTTGCTTTTTATTTATGGGGTTTCCTGGCCATTCTCTCCCTATACATCCACCTCACCCCAGTCTATGCAAATCCTACCCTGACAGCCTAGCTCAGCTCTACCTGAAAAAACTCTGCACCATTTCCTTTAACCAGCTGCCTCTCTAATTAACTCTCCAATTTTGAATCATTTGGTATTTGCTTACATGTGTTGAATCTCTTCCCAGTTAGACATACAAGCCCCTTGAGGTAAAGCTCAGTAAGTGACAAGCTCACCATGGCATATTTCATAGCGAGTCATGTGCTACAGAAGAAGTCACTTACCTAGATCACCTGTAACTCTGTAGGTTCCATTTGCAAAAATCCAGAAGAAAACTCCTCTGGCGCCTCTAATCAAGATACCACCTTTGTTTACTCTTCCGGCAATGAACACGCCTCCCTTCTCAGGAGTCTCTATGTAAACATCACACGTTACAGTCAGATTGGACCTGCAGAACGAAACCGTTAGTTAGTGCTCTTAATTGTACTGCTCTGGATGCCGCACAAACGTGTCACTTCACAGCCACACGCTTACAGACTTCTAACTGAGGTGAGTATGTGATTGGCTAAGTCTGTGCTTATAGCAGGGATGGGCTTTGAGAATCTTCACTGATGAAAAAAATATATATATCTTCATTGATGAGAGTTTTAAGTTTTATGTGGCTGAAGTTAAGTCATTTCATTGCCTCTTTTAATGTTACTGGAAAATAATATTTATTGTTTTTAAGTCTCAACACGTTTCCTGTCTCTCTATAATAAAACAACTTCTCATCCTAAGAATATAATGTTAAAAGAAGGCTTTTTCTTTTCCCCTAGGAATACATAAAAGATCCATTCAATTCAGAACAAAGATTATTAAATTTCCATCAGCTAAGAGAAGCAGTGTAGGCAAAGCTAGGGGCCCCCAGGAGAACATAAGCTACTTTGGGGCTAATTTTTATCTTTAACCCTACCAAGACTTAAAAACTCCAGAAGAAAAAAAAAAAAAACTCCAGAAGAAAGATCTCAAATTATTTCTCTGCAAACACAGAGTCAACTCTATATTGACTCTACAGCAGGGGTTTTCAAATTTGAACAGCACTGAAATCACCTGGAGGGCTTATTAAATTCAGTCTGTTGGCCCCACCCCACAGTGTCTGATTCAGTAGGTTTAGGATGGGGCTCTTGAATCTGCCTGTCTAACAAATTCCCGGGTCATGCTGGTGTCCCCGGTCCAGGAATCCTACTCTGAGAGCCATTTTCCCCTATGGAGCATCTCTGTCCATACAGGGACAGTAAAACCCTGCCTGTCATTACTGATCGACAGGGGTACATCAAAGGAGGGGGAAAATTCAGCCAACCAGGAACTACTAGAACTTTAATAGTGAGCTGTGCTCCAGGCTTCTCTTATAAATGCTACTAGATGCCTTCTGCAATGATACAACCATCCCCAAACCTACATGACCTCTGAAAATAATATACCTCCTACTCAAACTCTAACTGCAAACAGGAAAGAAAGCCTGCACAAAGCCAATTACAAAGTGAGCAATTTACCTAAAATATAACTAAGACTGTCAAGAAATATATTTTGGAAATGGGGGGAAAATAGACCTAGAATGATGTGGCTTTTATATTTCTCAGTTTCTTATCAGTGAATTTTGCACAATAAGATTTTACTTTGTAAAGAAAAATATATATTAAAAAAAGAAAATATTGGAAAAAAAAAAAGCTAAAACAGACATGCAACAATCCAGAAAACCCACAGTGAATCATCTTATCAAAGCTGGGCTACTTTACAGGAAAATCAGATGCAAAGTTAACTAAAGCCCAATCTGTCTTGTACCTCCTCCCAAGTAGAGGGAGCTTTTCTCTCTGCAGACTGTCCCCAGCAGGAAACCATGAGGGATCAACATTGCTCCATACATCCCCTCCCTCTGTTCTGGTTCATCAGAAGTGTAAAAACTGTCAGCACCAGAAACTTACTCTATTTAGAGTCAGAGTGGGAGATCTAACCTCTTTTTTTTTTTACAACACTTTCCAGAATAAAGATTCCCACATCAGAACTTGCAGGCGATTTCGCAGACAGTGAATCAAACAGAATAAAAGTGTGGTCTTGTCTTCCAGAGCCATAATCTCTTGGTATGCCGAGGACACAAAAACTGGCCAGTACATTAAGCAAATTTAACCAAAAGGATGCAGAGTTTGGATGTGTGCACTGAAAGGTAATTCTGTGATTTTGTGATTGTCCTCAGGTCCCAACCAAAGCTTACTAACAAGATGGAACTCTTGAGTAGCTTTGGGAAAGTCTACCCTCTATAGTCCAATTACTGTGCTGGTACTTAACTAAATCTAAGGATGATCGAGGAAGTCCCCCTGCAAACACAGCCTAAGAACTGATGACAGTATGTGCACACTGAGAGCCGACTTTAAAATAGCGCTACAGGTAAACCACCCTCATCCTCCCTCTCCTCCTCCTAGGAAGGAGACAATGATTAAACTGTGAGGTGATAGTCCAAAGAATATGGGCTACGGCACCAGACAGTCCTGGCCTCTCGCCCTAGTTCTAGAACTTACAAGTATGGGATCTTGGGTAAAGCCTTGGTTTCCCAATCCATAAGGTGGGGAGGATGATAACTCTGCCATTGGTAGTTATGGGAGGCTCATACCCGTGTGTAGTATGACCGGGTTTTCACTCCCTCCTTTCCCTACAGTAAGGGGGGATTGCAGCCAGAAAACAGAAATGAGCATGGCCCAGGCAGGGATCTCTGAACAGATGTGGCTACCTCGAATCCAGGAGGAAATATTGGGAAAGAGCACATAATAAACAGAAAGAGCCCAAATTTGAAAGGGTCTTGGAAGTCAGGCATAGACGTGTAGATCTGATTGGGTTGCTGGTGAGAGTCACTGCATATTCCTGAGCAGCGGGTTGCACCATGAAAGCAGGGCTAAGAAAGATGAAACTAGTCCCTTCTGGAAGGGCTTCGCTTCTCTTTCCTCATTCTTTCTCACTCAAACCATGTCACTCTTCCTTTCCCTCTTTCCCCGCCTCCCCCCCCACTCCCTTACCCACTGCAGCAGCAAAGATGATCATTACTACTTAAATAATGCAAAATCTTCAAAGTTATAAAGTCGTTTGGTTACTCTTTGAATGGTGCTCTATCCCCTCTCTCTACTACAATTAAAGAGTCTCTCGATTTTTCTAGAGTCCCAGCCAGAAATAAGAGTTTGGGTTCAGGGAGAGCCACTCTTCTGTAGTATTCACGAGCAAGGAGGATAACAGTTGTTGCAGAAAGTTAAAGGCTTTCTGTGGTGGCTGGCTTCCAAATTGGTAACCAAAATAATGAGGCCCATCCCTTAGACAAGTAAACCCAGCCACCTGTCTCATAAGAAAACCACAGGTAGCAAATGAAAAAAATCACACATCCCACTGGCACGTTCAGAAAATCCAGGTAAAGTGTCTACTACAGAGATGTGGGATAAATGGCATCTTTGCTGTATAAAAAGACAAGCCAGCAAAGTTATCCTAAATTAGGCAAGCATTCTTCATTGTACCCCAATAAATCTCCAGGGTGCTGTACGGGTTCCAGAAACCAGGTAACTGAAAATTTCTCAAGACTTACAGCAGAGCTTGGAACTAGAATTTGGGATTTCTAATAGGGAGAAAGGCAACAGAGAAGGGGTAAAGACTTTGTGCAGCATTCCACAGATAAGTAAGTCAAGACTCTTTTCAGATTTATCTTCCCTGCCCGGTTCAATTTCCAAGTAATAGATATGGCTGCTTGGTGACTTGGCATTAACAGTTACTATCACTAAACGTGCAGTGCTTGAGTTTTGTTTCACAGAATTATACTAGTTAAAAGAAAAAACAGAAAAGAAACACCTAAAACAGGTATAATAAGTCAGTACATTAGAATCCCACAACTGACTTAATAGGGAAGGGGAAGTTTTGGTTTGGTCATTACATTTTAAGTGTAGAATAAATACAAATTGTCTCTTTAACAAATGCCTGAAGAAAAGAGTTGAATTCACTCATCAAGTAAAAGCTGATTTGCTTTTCACTATTGCCATCTACCGTCACCGGGTAAATAGATTTTCTACGAAGGTTAAAACAGCGTAAGTCTAGAATGGATCCAGCAGGTGGCAACACCAGATCAATAAATCAACTCTCCAGCAACACCAAAAACAACACACAAATCACAAAGCCTGTTTATAAATAAATATTAAATTATAACTGGATCCAAAAGTCCTCAATTTCTATATTAAAAGCAATCTGTTCCTGCAACAATCACTATTAAATGGGGCAAATCTGAGGGAAGGACACTGAGGCGGCATAACCACGTGCTGGCTTGTGGCCATGATATTCAACAATTACCACACACCCATTAGGTTCTTGTACAAGGAAGACCACTGAAAAGTCTTCACTTCAGAATGTACCTGACAATATTACAAGGTTATTTCAGCTAGATCTACATTAAGGACACCAATTTTATATACCATTTGTAATCTCCTATAATACTGATGGTGTTGTATGCATCAGCAGCCCAAGTAATGGGCCGCTGATTAAGAACTTGGCGTAGTGTGAAGCGATGCTCTCCAGGGTCTTCAATGTTCGTAAAGTATTCAAAGACGCCAGTCTGATCAGCAAAATTCGGAGCTTCACTAAAAAATGGGTAATCTGTTCAGAACACAATTAAATTCTCTGGTTAGTATAAAATCCTCCTCTCTGATATTTTACGGCATATTTTGAAACACTTTTGAAAAGTCCTAAATAAGTAAATGATACTTATAACAAGCAGAAGTTTAGGAGTTAGGTTAAAAAAGAGATTGATTTTTGTATCATCATTATTATTCAATACCAACATGATCAGTTTGATAGACAGACTTTACATATTTAATCCATGCAACTGCATAAGAGGAAAGATCATGAGTTTTAGAGAAAGGCAAACCCAAGGTTTAAATTCTAGTTCAGTCTGTCTTCCTGGCCAAGTTGTTTAACTACCCTGAGTCTCAAGTACCCTCCTTTCTAAGTGGGCGTGAGGACAAGAGAATTAAATAAAAGAATGCATGTAAAGTGTGTCCATAAACCAGCACCTAGGGGCACCTGGGTGGCTCGGTCGTTAGGCGTCTGCCTTTGGCTCAGGTCATGATCCCAGGGTCCTGGGATCGGGCCCCGCATCGGGCTCCCTGCTCCGCGGGAAGCCTGCTTCTCCCTTTCCCACTCCCCCTGCTTGTGTTTCCTCTCTCGCTGTGTCTCTCTCTGTCAAATAAATAAATAAAATCTTAAAAAAAAAAAAAAAAAACCAGCACCTAGCCAGGGCTCAATAAGAGATAGTTTTGTTATTTCTAGTATGGGCCAAACGAGGTTCTACATCCCAGGTCACAGTCATCAGCTGACAGAAGATTAGAAAAGGCTCACTATATCAACTACAGAATTTACAAATGACAAATTTTCTTCTATTTCTAAAATGAAGCAAAGGCAGTTGGGCCTAAGCTATCTATCAATCTTTTTTTTTAGTTTTACTAAATTAAATTACAGTCTTAGAATGACAAAGGCTATAGAAGAGCAATTTTAGTCATAATCTTACACCTAATTTCACACTCCACGCTTTTCTAAGTGTTTTCATATTCATCATTTGAGAAATTAAGAACCACATAAAGGAGGGCTACGGCCTGACTTAGAGTTTTTAGTTTATTCTGTAGTCAGTGAAGCATTGTATTTTAGATTTGAAGGTTTAGAATTGCCTTTCAGTTTTCAGGTCATAGAATGAGTAATTCTGGTATTGGGGGAACTTCCCTCTTGTTAACTAGGCCATATCCCACACAGACTCCTTTACTGAAGACAAGAGGAATTACCTTTGCCAACACAGAAGTGAGCAACAGATTGCAAAGCCATTCCTGGTCGCATAATTCATGGATTCATCTAAGAGGCCACTTTAGAGAATTGCAAGAAAACAAAGCACAGAGCCCCTCCGAGGGTCCCTGTTGTCTGTGTTATGCAAATAACTGAGAGGACTCCAGTACACAGTCCAAAGGGCCTTGTACTGCAATTAACCAAGATATCCCTTCTGGGGAAAGGGAGCGGAGACCCTGCAACTGTGAGGGTGACCGGGAGGGGGTAGCAGGAGTCTCCAACCAGCCATGCTGGAAAGAGCAGCCCTGCAGACAGGAGGTTCAAGAGTGCTCTCAACGGCAGTCCCCCCCTCCCTGCTTCTCTCCTACAGCGGCGGATTTGAGGAGCAAAGAAGAGAGCCATCTGACCTTGTCTGTAAGATCCAGAAGCTATACGTCTCCTGGTCAACAAGTTCTGGCACTTACTGAGTGATCTGGGGCTATACCGACAAGGACGGTACCTTCCAACTTTTCAAGCAGTTTTCCTACATTACCTAAAATCAAAAGCTTTTCTATGGCTTTAGGACAGATCTTCCTAGAAAACCAGGAGAGTGCAAGTATAAAATTCCTGGGTAGATAATGAGGTGAAGCACCCAAGGGGAGCATAACTGCCCTCAGCACGCAGTCCACTAGCTCTGCAGAAAGTGAAGGACCTTGACCTGCACACTCATGGAGGAAACCAGGAATGGATTTCGTGAATGTGGGTAACAGGGCAGTGGCAAGGTCACAAACCTTAAGCGTCACCAAAACCAATAGCTTTCATTCTGACAATGACTTCTGTGTTTTTTCTGAAGCTGAAAAATACAGGGCTCTCAAGCTGAGAGTCTCCTTGAGGTAATACCAAAATGAGGTCTCAGTTATCACGTGGACGTTCAGAGCTACATTTTACAGGTGTTCTATCACACACCCGTGTGACAGGTAGAAATCTACCCACTACTGCTGGAAATGGAAACCACACTAAGTTTTAGTAAAAACAAACAAAACTTACCAACATCGAAATCATCTTTATAAATTCGTGGGAAGGGCTGGGACTTCGGAGGCAGTGGGTAGCTGCCCTTGCCCCCGGTTGTGAGAGTGGTGAGCGTGAAGAGCTCGTCCTCCTGCAGCTCCAGGGAGAAGGTGCCACTGCTGTCAAGAAGCTGGAAAACGAAAACGCGGAGGTCAAGGCCAGGTGCTTTGGCTCATCTCATCTGGGCAAAATCAAGTTTTTGAAAAATCAACTTAAAGAAAAGCCAGACTCACTTCTGCTAAAACTTCATAACCACTCATGAAGGCCACACCCAAAATCAAGGCCTTGGGGGTCTTTTTCCTTATTTAGAAGACCTTATAAAATTATACTTTGTAGATAGGATTTTAAAAAAATTTCCCTCTGTGGAGGGAAGGAGGACTAGATGACACCAAAATTTCTATTTGTCTATTTATTCTTCGCCATTACACTGTAAGCTCCTCAGAGCCTGTTTATATTCAATACACATAAATAAGAGATCTGCTTATTTACTTTTTAGGACTTTACTAAGGGAGAAAAATCCATAAAATCTCACCTATGACTCAGCTGTTAATCACAGAAAACCTTTTACTATTAAGATAAAAAAGGTCCTACTTCTGATATGCTCAATATATATTTCAATTAGCAAGTTAGGTTTATGTCACATTTATGCTTTTGGCAGCTTAATCTTTTTAAGCCACTTTGCCACAAAATGAGGGGAAAAAAATACATACCTCCTAGGGCTGTTGCAAGGATTAAACAACATCCTGTTTATAAAGTGCTTTGCTCAGTGCATGACCTTCCCTACAGAAACACTCCCTGTGTCACAGCTGTTCTATGCTTCATGTAGACCTCTGAAGACACTAGAACCCTTTGCATAATTAATGTAGGCATTAGATGTATGCCCATTTTAGGAAATTTGAGGGTTTTTTCTACTTTGAATTCAAGGGGCTTATACCATATCTTTGCTTTAATAATAAATTATTGGTCACATCTATGAAATATGTAGCACCATATTCTGGCTCAGGTAATACCCCAAATGATATATTCCCTATGGGGAAAATTGATTTTAATGTGCTATTTCTAGCAATTTGTTGTGCAAAAAGCAGACTGCTCTTTTTAGAATTTAATACAGAAATGGTGTTCAATTACTGATAGTGACTAGTTGATTCACAGAACATTCATAATTTCCAGGAAAGGTAGATCTGTGTCAATTAGGTGAAGTAATGTGTTCAGTTGGACCAATTCACATTCTTTGAAACGTTTCCTGAGGAACTACCATGTGCTAAGCATGATAGCAGGGACCTGGGGTAAAAACTAAAGAAGGCAGGGCCCCAATCCTCAAGGTGCCCAGTGTAGTGGGGAAAATGCTTAACTAGGTAAGCACCTATTCCTAGGTGGCTATGAGCTAGGACTGGTGGGGAAATCTTCACAGGAAGCAGCACCTGAGCTGAATCTTGAAGAACAACAAAGACATGAGAAGGCATTCTAGGAGAAGGAAGAAGCAAGTGCAAAGTCACAGAGGTGAGTAAAGTGGCATGCCATGCTCTGAAAAAGACAAGAAGTTTGGTCTGTGAGGACAGGCCACATTAGTAGAAGAACATGCATCGAGATATGAAAGCAGCCTTTTACCTCATGAGGTGGTAACGAGGGTCGTGTGCTATGCTAAGGGATGTGAATTCACAGGAAAATTCATTGAGGGACTTTGAGCAATGGATTGACAAAACTCAGATCTGCATTTTAGACACATCATTCTAGTAGCAGTGTAATGGGTGGCCAGACAGAGTCACATTAGAGGCTGGAAAAACAGGAAGCAGTTTCCAAAATCCAGGAGAGAATAAGGAACTGAAATAAGCAGTAGCAGTGGGAATGGAGAATAAGGAATGTGTAAGAAAAACACGTCAGTGATAGAATGCTCTGGACTTGACCAATGGGGGTATACAAAGATAGGGTGGGTGGGAAAGACAGTCTCAGATGAGACTCAATTTTTTGACTTCGGCAGCCAAGGGCAAGGGCAAGCCAACAAACTAAATGCTAAGAGCAAACACACCTATAAACACACACACTTCTATTATGCCTTGAGGAGGATTTCTATTTTAAAAAAACAACAACAGCTGGTGCCAACTTGAGCTCTATTATACTACAGTCATAAAATCAATTATAAAATTAAAAACTATTAATTCATTAATCAAATGTCTGTCCTCTTTTACTATTTGCAATGCTCAAAATATAGGAATTTATTTTAAAACTACCCATAGAGAATCCAGTTGTTTAAAAAGAAATCTCGTAGATGGTTTTCCAAGCTTCGTATACCAGACCTGTAGCTCTGGTATTTCACTCTGAGGAGAAAACACACACAAAAAGCCATAGTTGAGTGGTTCATCATAACCTCTGAGGATTTTCAAAATTAGTACCAGCAAGAATGAACCATTGATAATGTGCACTCTATTCCTATTTGCCAAAAGACCCACCTCAAATCTTAAATAGTAACATTCTGAAAGTAGGCAGATATTGTTCAAATATTTTATTTCCTATAAATGCCACAGACTTTTGGCAAATGTTTAAAAAGATTGATTTTAGTGCCTTTGCTTCAAAAATACTCACTACTGTACCTGTGTAAAAACACATTTTAGGAATTTTCTAGTATTTAGTATTAAAAAACAATTTTTATGCAATTAGTAATCAGAAAAGGCACTATAGTCAGAAATTAGTAGTAGAAATTAGTAGTCAGAAAAGGCACTGTATTTTCTGTGTTCAAAACTAACAATAGGTAGAAACAGCAAGAATCTGGTGTCTTTTTATGTTGTTGGTTTTTCTGTACAGAGTACTGAAAAGATAAAGGCTTGAAAGTTCCCTAGGCTACATATCTGATGCTTCTTCTACCAACAAGAACACCTTTGTTACAAACTGACTTTTGTTAAGTGATCTTCAAAGCCCAGGAGAGTTTTAGCCACACGGTTTTTCCTCTTAGTGGCTTCTGTACTGTTTGACTAAGACCAGTCAGCATTTAGAAGACACCAGTGCCTGTATCCATTTATATGCAAATACTTAATAGCTCCTAATAGAAGACTTCACTTATAAACTGCTAGCCTGTGACAAAATATATAACTTCTCAAATCAAAACCAAAATAAAAGTCCCACATATTTACTTACAAAAGAACCTTTAAGAACAAAGGTAGCAAACTGATGTGACACATTGAAGTAAGGCAGAAACGGCCGTATACACTTAGAATGTTTATGGCTCTAGGAGAAAAAAAAATCACGTAAGTTATCCAAATGATATACAAGCCACCTTAGGAAAAGAAAATTAAACATTTAATGCCCCAAGATTAACAGAAATGGTACATATTAGGTGACAAATAAGAGTTTATTTCAAATTTTTAAAGACTTTTTTCCTAATATAACCTGCATTGAAAGTCTACTGTGGTTGCCTAGTCAAAGTAAAGTTCAATGGCATTTTGACTGAATTAAACTGAATTCATGACTAAACTACAGAGTCATTTTGTGGCACACAGATTAATTTTTATATTATAATTCTTTTCCAAATAAAACACATCAAATAAAATGGAAATGCTTGTATGTTTTCACTGAAAAGGCATCTCATCTAAATATAACCTTCATATTCAACTAGTCAGTAAGTACGTATAACAAATAGTTCTCACATTGACAACATCATTTTTTACTGAATAGTCACTACTATGGACTGGGATCAAAAGAATTATGAGACATAATCCCTACTTCAGGGGATTCAACGATCCCAGAGCACTTAAGCAAAAGGTTCTGGGCCAGGCTTCATGGACACTAAAAACATTACAATTATATTAATCTCAGGAAACAAACTGAGTGTTGCTGGAGTGGTGGGGGGTGGGAGGGATGGGGTGGCTGGGTGATAGACATTGGGGAGGGTATGTGCTATGGTGAGCGCTGTGAATTGTACAAGACTGTTGAATCACAGATCTGTACTTCTGAAACAAATAATGCAACATATGTTAAGAAAAAAGAAAAAGAAGAAGATAGCAGGAGGGGAAGAATGAAGGGGAGTAAGTCGGACGGGGAGACGAACCATGAGAGACGATGGACTCTGAAAAACAAACTGAGGGTTTTAGAGGGGAGGAGGGTGAGGGGATGGGTTAGTCTGGTGATGGGTATTAAAGAGGGCACGTTCTGTGTGGAGCACTGGGTGTTATGCACAAACAATGAATCATGGAACACTACATCAAGAACTAATGATGTAATGTATGGTGATTAACATAACAATAAAAAAATTTTTAAAAAATTACAATTATAGTTAGAGATTCCAATACTTCATCCTCAGTAAATGATGTACAACTAGACAGAAAATCAACAAGGATAGAGGTGATTTGCACAATGCTACCACATAGCTTGCCTGGATTGACATCTATAGATCACCTCACCCAGCAACAGCAGATGCACATTCTTGTCAAGTGCACAAGCAACATTCACCAAGGAACACTATATTCTTAGCCATAAAAGAATGTTCAATACATTCAAAAAGATTCAAATCACACAATATATGTCCTCTGACCACAAGATAATTAAGAGATAAATAATAGAAAAACCTCTAGAAAAATTCCAAAATATTTAGAAACTAAATAAAAGTTTCTAAATAATCCATGGCTCAAAGAAAAAATAGAAATAAAAAGGGAAAGGAGAAAGAATTTTGAGTTGTATCAAAATAAAAATACAATGTACGATTTGTGGGATGCCACGAAAGCAGTATTTAGGAGCAAATTTATAGCACTGAACACCGATTAGAGAAGAAGGATGTGAGACTTCAGCTTCCACCTGGAGAGAGGAAGACAAGAAGAGCTAATTTAAAACCAAAGTAAGCAGAACGAAAACATTAAAGATCAAAGAAGAAACCAATCAAACAAAACTCAGAAAAATGAGAGAATAATCAAGAAACCACAAGCTGATTCTTTGACAAGATCAATAAAATTGATAAACTTCTAGCTAGACTAATCAGGAAATCAGGATAGAAAGAAAGAAAATACAACTTGCCATTGTCAACAGTAAGAAAGGTGACATCAGTACAAATTGTATAGATATGAGCAGAATAATAGGGAATAACACCAATAACTTTATGTTCAGAAATGGAACAACTTGAATGAAACAGAAAAAATTCTTGAAAGACACAAAAACCAGGGGCACCTGGGTGGCTCAATCAGTTATGCATCTGATTCTTGATTTCAGCGCAGGTCATGATCTTAGGGTTGTGAGACTGAGCCCCATATCAGGCTCCACACTGGGTATAGCACCTGCTTGGGATTCTCCCTCGCCCTCTGTCCCATTCCTGCTGACCCCACTCTAAAAAAAAAAAAAAGACACAAAAACCCAAAGTTCACTGAAGAATACATGGATAACCCAAATAGGCCTGATGGCTGGCTGTACTGGGAAATTCAGGTCGACCTTGAAGCTTTGCTCAAACATGAAGTAAAGCTACTACCAAGTTGCACACGGCCTACTTGAGCACTGACACATAGCCCATGCACACACAGCCCATTAGCCAAGGCCAGGAGACTTGGCAGTTCCAAACATAAGGAAACCTCTGTACAGTCATAAGCTGACCACTAAGGTAACTAAACAGAGGCTTCAGTGGCCACATATAATAAAGCTGACAAAGTACAGAATTTGTTCAAGAAAGTCACTAAGCAAATAAATAGCAACAACAATAAAGAGTAACAACCACAAATGCTAGACAGGGGAGAAATCTGACCTCCAGAGCTGCCACAATACATTATGCAATATGTCTAGTTTTCAACAAATAATTACGAGATTTGCAAAACAAAACAAACAACAACAAAAAAACAGGAGAGTGGCCCATACACAGGAATAAAAGCAGTCAACAGAAACCATGTCTGAAAAAGTTCAGGCATTACTTGCAACATATTAGACTTACTAGACAAAGACATTAAATCAGGTATTTAAATATGTTCAAAAGAAACCACATCTAAAAAAACTAAAGCAGAGTTGTACTTCCAGAATGAAAGTGTGAGGAGCTCCACGAAGCTGTGCCCCTCAAAACTGGTGAAAAATATTTTTAAAAAATGGAAATGACCTAGGGTACCTTGGTGGCTGAGTCAGTTAGGCAACTGGATCAAGTCCCCACACTGGGTTCCATGCTCGACACAGAGTCTGCGTGAGATTCTTTCTCTATCCCTATCCCTACCCCTCTGTTCCTCCCCCAACATCCTCTCTCTCTCTGTCTCAAATAAATAAATAAATAAATAAATAAATAAATAAATAAATAAATAAAATTTTTTAAAAAAATGGCAATGATCCTAAGGCCATGCAACAAATAAACATTTATTCAAGAAAATGTACAAAAACTCAGTAAAAAGAGCAAGAGCTTGTGGCATTTAAACCACAATCTATCCATCCCCTGGCTTTCTTAGCCAAGCGGAAGAAACTGCACGCCAAGTAGGTACAGCCAAGAACATAGGCTCCCTCCTCCCAACTCGCAGCTGAAGACTACAGTAGCTTATTGGGAGAAGCAGGATTTCAGCATTTCTCACCACCCACCCCCTCAGATATTTGAGTCCAAGGCTCCCTTGCTCTGCCCAGCTCCCATTCATGGGTTCTCCTTGGAATACTGAGAATACTGGAGTCCCCAACCTCCACCCATCACCCTGTGTTCCTAAATCAGAGATGTTACTAAGAGAGAAACAAGGGACCTTCAGTAAGATTAAAAGTTGATTCATCATCAGAAACAACAAAAAGTAACACATTCAAAACACTCAAAAAAAAAAACCCACTGTCAATCAAGAATCCTATATCCAGCAAAATTAGCTTTCACAAAATGAAGGCAAAATACATTTCCACATAAACAAAAACTGAAAGAATGTGTTGATACCAGACACAACTTTCATAAAATACTAAAATAAGAATTTCAAGCTGAAAGTAAATGATCACACCCAGTAATTCAAATCCACAAACAAAAAGTATAGACAAAGATAATTATGTAATTATAAAAGACAGTAAAAATGCCTATTTCTTCTTTCTTCCCATAACTGATTTTTAAAAGCAACTGCATAAAATAATATGTATATAATTGTATTGTTAGGCTTATAAAATATAGAAATGTGATTTAACTGCCAATAATAGCACCAAGTAGCCAGGTGAGGAAAAAACTATTAGAATAGGAAATGCCACCAGATAAGAACTCAAATCCACAGGAATAAATAAAAACAATCAAAAATGGTAAATAAGATTAACATAAATGTTATAAATATACAATTTCTCTCCTTTATTCTCTCAAATTTTTTAAAAGACTTAAAATTATACATTAAGCTGTAATTAAAACAGGTCTTGTTAGGCTTACAATAGATAGAGGTTTGATAAATACAATAACAACAAAAAGGGGGAAAGAGAATAGAGCTATATGGGAATAATGTTTCTTTTTTTTTAAGATTTTATTTATTTGACAGAGAGCATAAGCAGGGGAAGTGGCAAGCAGAGGGAGAGGGGGATGGGGTAACTGCGTGATGGGCACTTAGGAGGGCACTTGATGTAATGAGCACTGGGTGTTATATGCAACAGATGAATCACTAAATTCTACTCCTGAAACTAATAATACACTATATTTAATGAAATTGAATTTAAATAAAAAATTTAAAGAAAGAAATACCTCAAAAAATAACCTTCTTCTACCTACAATCTTCAAAGAGCAAACTAAACTCAAAGTTAACAGAAGGGAATAAAGATTAAAGTAGAAATTACCGAAATACAGAAGAAAAGAGAAAAATCAACAAAAGTTGTTTATTTGAAAAGATGACCAAAATTGACAAACCTTTAGGTTTTCTAACCAAGAAAAAAAGGGAAGACAAATTACTAAAATCAGGAATGAAAGAGGAACATTTCTACCAACCTTACAGAAGTTAAAAGGCAATATGTAAGGGAATACTATATACAAACACATGCAAACAAATTAGGTAACATAGGTAAAAGAGACAAATTCCCTGAAAAACAAACTACCAAAGCTGACTCAAAAAGTAACATAAAACCTGAATAGACCTATGAGAAGAGATTGAGTCCGTAAACCAAAACTTTCTTGCAGGAAAATTGCAAAATCAGATAGCTTCACTGACGAATTCTACCACACATAATAAAGAATAATACCAATCCTTCACAAATTATCTTTTTTTTTTTTAAGATTTCATTTATTTATTTGACAGAGAGAGACACAGTGAGAGAGGGAACACAAGCAGGGGGAGTGGGAGAGG